GCATTCTGCTACACACTGGAGGGCCATTCAGATATTAGATGTAAAGACAAACACAGTTGACTTAAAGACAAACTCCATCCTCCTTTCTTTGTTGACTAAGAGTTTAATCCGGTTAAATCCCAACTCATAAATCTGTTTCTCCTCCTTCAGCCATTGAGTGTTAAAAATACAAAGCAGGTAAAATAATAAATAATCTACACCAAGCAAGATTCTAAACGTGTCATAACTATCTTCATATCTCTCACTACTCCGACTAAGCTCTGATGTTAAGTTAAATTTGACAATAGTCACGTGCTCGCCCACTGACCAATCACAGCGCACGCTGCACCTCACTGCAGAGCTGCACCTGGACACTGAGCTGCACGTAATGCTGACGTACTTGTAGGCCAGCTAGCAGCTCTGACACGTCAAAGAATACGCCCAACATGTCAAACTAGAGATCTGATTGGTTGAACACTATGACAATCAACAATATCGTCCCCATTCACTTAAACTGCACATGGATGCACTTGTGAGTCTGCAGGCCTCTGCCTCTGTTCTTACCTAAAGACACAGAGGTGAAATCTGATTGGATAAAAGCTCTACTTAAAACAAGCTGCACTGGAAGCAGAGCAACTGAGGAAGACAGTAGCTGTGCAATGAGAACATAAGATAATGGGAAAAATATTTTTATAAATTATAATACATGTAGTGTATTGAAGAAAAATTATTAAATTATAAAATAGACAGTCACTTGACTGTAAACCTTTTTATTTCAGATTTCATTCTGGTCGGCGTTTACATCCTCAGGCCTGTGTGAGTGAGGCACTCAACACCTGGCTGAGCAGATCACCAACATGGAGCACAAACACCCAGACTCCCTGCTCATTGTTCTTGGGGACTTCAACAGAACAAACCACAGCAAAGAACTGCCAAAATACAGACAGCATATTAAGTGTAGCACCAGGGACAAAAACACACTGGACCACTACTACTCAGTACCCCGTGCAGCTCTGGGACTCTCTGATCATTGTCTGGTTCATCTCCTCCAGACCTACAGGCAGAAACTAAAATCTGCAAAGCCTGTGGTGAAGACTGTGAGGAGATGGACCAACGAGGCAAAGCTGGAGCTACAGTCCTGCTTTGTCTGCACTGACTGGAGTGTTTGTGAGGCTGCTGCTACAGACCTGGATGAGCTCACTGACACTGTGACATCATACATCAGTTTTTGTGAGGATATGTGTGTGCCGACTAAAACCTTCTGCACATTCAACAATAACTCAACTGCTTCGTCGGGTTAAGGAGGAGGCCTACAGAAGTGGGGACAGGATCCTGTACAACCAGGCCAGAAACACACTGACGAGGGAGATCAGGGTAGCAAAGAGGAGCTACACTGAAAAGCTGGTGAAAAAGTTTTCAGTCAAAGACCCCTCATCAGTGTGGAGAGGTCTGCAAGTACTCACGAACGACAGGAGACCATCCCCCCCCCACTGAGGACAATCACTGACTGGCTGACGACCTGAATGTTTTCTATTGCAGGTTTGATAAGCCTACCCTCACACCCCCCACCTGCCCCATCATCATCAAACAACCACCTACACCCCCTGCCTCCTCCTCACCTCTCCCAACCAACCCCCCACCAGCACTGAGGATCTGTGAAGAGGATGTGGGTCAGCTCTTCCACAGACAGAAGATCAGGAAGGCACCAGGCCCAGACGGTGTGTCCCCCTCCTGCCTGAAAGTCTGTGGTGACCAGCTGGCCCCCATCTTCACACAGATCTTCAACCGATCACTGGAGCTCTGTGAAGTCCCCTCATGCTTCAAACGCTCCACGATCATCCCGGTCCCCAAGAAATCCTCCATCACAGGATTAAATGACTACAGGCCCGTTGCCCTGACGTCTGTGGTCATAAAATCCTTTGAGAGACTGGTGTTGACCCACCTGAAGGACATCACAGGGCCCCTGCTGGACCCCCTGCAGTTTGCCTACCGTGCAAACAGGTCGGTGGATGATGCAGTCAGTATGGGACTGCACTACATGCTGCAACACCTTGACTCCCCAGGGCCATACGCAAGGGTTCTGTTTGTGGACTTCAGCTCAGCGTTCAACACCATCATCCCGGAGATACTCCAACCCAAACTCTGCCAGCCCACTGTGCCAGCCTCCACCTGTCAGTGGATCACTAACCTCCTGACTGACAGGACGCAGCAGGTGAGGCTGGGAAACACCACATCCAGCACCCAGACTATCAGCACTGGAACCCCCAGGGATGTGTGCTCTTCCCACTGCTCTTCTCCCTCTACACCAACGACTGCACCTCAGAGGACCCGTCTGTTAAACTCCTGAAGTCCGCAGACGACACAACGGTCATCGGCCTCATCAGGGACGGTGATGAGTCTGCGTACAGATGGGAGGTTGAACAGCGGGTCCTCTGGTGTTCAACAAGCTCAACACTGTGGATATGACAGTGGACTTCAGGAGGAGCCCCCCAACACTGCCCCCTCACCATACACAACAGCACTGTGTCTGCTGTGGAGACCTTCAGGTTTCTGGGATCCACAATCTCCCAGGACCTGAAGTGGGCCCCCAACATCAACACCATCAGGAAAAGGCCCAGCAGAGTTTGAACTTCCTGCTCCAGCTCAGGAAGTTCAACCTGCCTCAGGAGCTGCTGATCCTGTTCTACTCCACCATCATCCAGTCTGTTCTCTGCTCCTCTATCACTGTGTGGTTTGGATCGGCCACCAAACAGGATAGGAACAGACTGCAACGGACTGTCAGGTCTGCAGAGAGGATCATTGGTTCCAGCCTGCCCTCCATCCTGGACTTGTTCACCTCCAGAGTCAGGAAACGGGCTGGAAAGATCTCTGCAGACCCCTCACACCCTGGACACAAGATGTTCAACTCCTCCCCTCTGGTAGGCGCTACAGGGCTCTGTACGCCACCAGACACAGGAACAGCTTCTTTCTGCCGTCACTCTGATGAACAATAAATAAGTCATACTGCACTACTACCTCTGTCTGCACTATTGTATTTTATATATATTTATATATATTATACTTATATTGTATATAGCTGTTAAATGTCCTTGTCTTTTCTTATATTTCTCTTCTTTATTGTATATATTTCATGTGTGTGTATGTACGATGAGAGTAATGTGTAACCGGAGCACGCACACATGAACAATAAAGCTGATTGTGATGAGTGGACGGACACAGAGGTGCACACTCACTCACTCACACACAGACAATCTCATAATCTCCCTGGCAGAGATAATACTACTAATAATGTGCAGCCATGTTAAAGTTAAAGAGCTGCTATTGGCTCAACACGTCACCAGCTTCATCTGAACACACAGACGTCTGACCTGCCGGTGGCCCCGCCTCTGGTCTTTCTCTTCTGCTCGTCTTCCTCCTCCTGGACCCTCCTGATCCTCGTCTCCCACAGAGCTTTGATGGAGCTCACCGAGCTCACCACGCCCACCATGATGACCACTTCCTGTCAGCCGAGTGATGTCACAGCGCACAGGTGTACAGGTAGGATGACCACTTCCTCCCTCTGAGTGTCCTGTTGTTTTGTTGAAAAGAAAAGACTTTAAACACAAACATACCATTTCAAATCATTGATTCAGTTCTAAGTAAATAAATTATTTGGTATTAGTATGATATAACCTAGAAAAATAATGATTTAGTATATTTATGAAAGAAAGAAAATGTATATAATATATAAGTATATTTGCTATTTAATACAACATTCACAGTTGTAGTCTTTGTGTGGTACAGTTAGAGTACAGCTGTATACTCCATGTAGTGGTAAACAGTAGTACTGTCAGTATTATTGTGTCAGACTGGACAATAGACTCAGCTTCGACCAGCACAAGAACAACATCTAAATAAATAATTGGTTTCTCAACACTCAGCTTCTCAGAGCTCTACAGAGAGGCCACTGCAGCCTCAATGGAACCAGCAGCTCACCCTGCTCTCCAGAAGCAGGTCCACAGGTCTGAGGTCCAGAAGGGCTAGCTTCAGGAAAAGCCTGATCCCTGTAGCCATAGCTGCCTTCAACAGCTGTATCACACTGTAGTACTACACAAAGACTACAACTGTACTACACAGAGACTATAGAGCTGTACTATAACTGTACTACAACTGAACTACAAGTACACAGAGACCACAACTGTACTACACAGTTGTGGTAAACAGTACTGTTGGAAGTATTATGTCAGTCCTCAGCAGCCGTCCTCCATGCTGCGTCTCTTCAGCTGAAATCTGACCTCAGATCTGCTGGATAATTTTAGCCTCCAGGTCACATGACCTCTCTGACACAATGATACGGTCACATGACGGGGGGGGGGGGGCGACTTCCTCCATCCTTTTCTTGTGTTTGGTCACCAGACTCATCGCTCTGGTTAAGTTGTGTCATTATTTATGAATAAAACACAAACTCTCCACTTGTTGAATGTTTTCCTGTTGAGGCCGTAACAATAAAGACACGTGAATCTGTTTAATAGCTTCTATTTAAAGTACAGCTTATATTTATGTTCATTCAGTTCATGTTGATTTTTCATCTTTGTTTCGTTAATAAATTGAGTTTTAAACTACAGCATCATATTTTACTGCTTCACACATGAATCAGTTCTGATTAACATTGAAATTAAAACCTCATAAATCACATCATTTATTGATTTGATGGGATTAATCTTTGTTTTAAAGGAGCAGTGTAGAGAATGTAGTGGTGAGGTGTTCCTCCTCCTCCCTCAGGTAACATGAGAACCTTGAGAGGACCAGCTGTATGTAGACATTAAGGACTCATTCTAATGCGGTTCTTAGTTTCAGTTGATTATACACTGATGAAAACATAGTTATGAATACTATATTATATTTATGGGGCAGCAGGGTGGTGTTGAACCCGCTGCATGTTCTCCAGTGTTAGTGAGGCTTTTCTCCGGGTGTCAAACCATATTTACCGGTTCTTTCTGCCGACATACTCGCAACTGATTAAACGGACCACACCATCAGAAAGAGTGTGGACAGATGAAGCTACAGCGGCTCTACAGGACTGTTCTGAATGTACAGACTGGCACATGTTCAGGGATGCTGCCACTCAGGAGAATAACATAAATCTGGAGGAATATACATCAACACTGACATCATATATCAGACCGGTCAGTCGGTAGTGGGTTAGGGTTAACCCTAGCACAGGCTGGGCTAGGATTAACCCTAGAACAGACGGTTACGATTAACCCTAGAACAGACTGGGTTACGATTAACCCTAGCACAGACTGGGTTAGGGTTAACCCTCGAACAGACTGGGTTAGGATTAACCCTAGAACAGACTGGGTTAGGGTTAACCCTAGCACAGGCTGGGTTACGATTAACCCTAGCACAGACTGGGTTAGGGTTAACCCTAGCACAGACTGGGTTAGGGTTAACCCTAGAACAGACTGGGTTAGGGTTAACCCTAGAACAGACTGGGCTAGGGTTATCCCTCATCAACTTTAACTTTCCACCAGGTTCAAACGTTCCCAAAAGTCTGTTCTGTACCTGAATCCTGTCTCGTGGTCTGCTATCCTGTCTTGAACTCCCTTGACACTTCAGTATAGACGGGTCAGACCACAAGGGGGATCAGGTCTACAGATGGACCTCTTTCACACCAGCCCAGGAACCAGACTTCACCAAGAATTCAGCTCATTTACAAACTTCAGTTTCATGTCATGAACGTTGACTCAATTTACAGGTGTTGAGCTTAATTTTTACACAAAACATTTTCGGATCCGATTGCCTCATAATCCACCATGATTGTGTTTCACTGTAATTAAGTTTGGTGCTTTTTAAAGTCCTGTGATCTTTAGCTTCTAAGGTCAACAGTGTTCTGACACTCCAATGTAAACACAAAATATATATTTACTGATATTTTGTGAACTTTGAAGCTTAAGAATTCTACTCAGTAAAATAGTATCTGAAACACAATTTGTGACAAATAACCAACCTAATATATTGTAAATGTTTCTTTAATAAAGTTAATTATACTCAACAAAGTAAAGTGAAAACTATTTAAGGTTTGTGCACTTCAACTTTATTTATTCCACCAGGTTCAAGCGCTCCCAAAAATACAAAAAGCTACGTTTCTTTTTATTAGTTTTACATTTAGTCGGTCGCTAAAAACTAAAACAAAGCAGGAAGAGAAACATTCAACCAACACCAGAGATTATTCACAGGTTCTGTAACAGTCTTCAGTACAGATGAACAGACGGGTCAGACCACAATGGGGATCAGGTCTACAGATAGACCTCTTTCACACCAGCCCAGGAACCAGACTTCACCAAGAATTCAGCTTATTTACAAACTTCAGTTTCATATCATGAACGTTGAGACTCAGCAGAGGACTGACGGACCCTTTAGACAGAAACTGGTTCTGATCCAGTACAGAGATCATGAAGTGAAACTGGTTCTGATCCAGTGAAGAGGCGTCAAACGAACCGATCAGAACCAGAATCATTAATCAATAGTTTAAATGAGTTCATGTTCATCAAAAACCTCAGAGACGTGAATCATATTTGGTCCTGATGAATAAAATCATTTAGTCACATGACCCTCCACCCACAGACACACGACCTATGCTGGCCCCGCCCACCTTATTTGCATACAGACGCCTTTAAACCAGGAGATCAGATATCGGAGATAAATATGATTAAAACACACAGAACTTCAGCAGCAGTTTACGTAATGAATTCACTGACTCAGATGTTTGAGGAACAGGAACCCGGTTCTAGTGAGAATGTCACACAACACGTGGAGAGTTTCAAAGTTCTTAAAGGAGCATGTTTCACTCTACTAACTGATCTCAGACCAGATCCTGGATCCACATCCAGCTTCAGAAGAAGTCAAAAGTTTAGGGGACAGCACTGGGATCTGGATCAATGAGGACCAACCAGGAGCAGTGAGACACTAAAGGTTCGCCGGTTCCCAGCATGTCAACTGGTTTTAGTGATTTAGAACTGGTCATGACTTGTAATTGATTTCCTGAAACATTAGAAACAGACTAAGTACCTCTAACCTCCGCTGTGTGTGTTAGTGGTTGTCATGGAAACAACATGATTGACAGGCTGACCCCTCCTCCCGCTGCCTTGCTCAAAGGAAACGACAGCGAGTGAACGGGAAGGCCTCGAACAGAAAGACGAAGCGAAGGCGAAGAGAAGGTCTCCCCGGGGCTGATGGGAAATACTCCTCTCTGTTTATTTGAGGTCCAGCACCATGCTGGCCGGGTTCTCCAGGTACTCCCTCCACAGGTTGGAGAACCGACACATGGTGGCTCCGTCGATGATGCGATGATCCGCCGACCAGCTGACGTTCATGATGTGAGCTCGGACAACCTGACCACCGGCGTCGAACCGAGGAAGAACCTAACGGATAAAAAGAAGATGAGGAACCAAGTCTATGAATGTTTTGTTCCTTTAGAAAAGAGATTCTCTTGGATTCTAGTTTTTATCAGATTTATTGATCGATCTTTAATTTATTATTTATATTTTAGTTTTTAGTGGTGAACCAAAAGACTTCCTTTCTTTGATTGAACATACTCCAAGTTAAAATCACTGATCAATAAAACTACAGATCACTGTTACCATCACAACAACCCTGATGAGGATTCATGTTGTTTGGAACCAACCTGGATTTGTCCCAGAGCTCCGATGGCGACTTCAGGAGGAAGGATGACCGGTTTGGCGTACGTCCCTCCGATCTGATTCAAACCAAAAACAAACACATTCAAGTCAGGAAGGTGTGAAGCCGGTTCAGGTTCTAGTGTGTGGTTGAGGTTTTTGTGCGTCGTTGAGGTTCTGGTGTGTGGTTAAGGTTTTGGTGTGTGGTTGAGGTTCTAGTATAACATTAAAGTCCTGGTGTGGTTGTAGAACTCACTGATCCGATGTTGGACAGGGTGAAGGTTCCTCCACTCAGCTCGTTGGTTCCCAGCTGCCCTGCAGTTCCGAGCGTCTGCAGACGGTTTAACTCCTGAGCGATGTCGAACACACTGAGCAGCTGAACGTTCTTCACATTGGGAACCAGCAGACCCTGAATGGTGTCCATCGCCAGGCCGATGTTATGAGACGCCTTCAGAACAGAATCACATGGAGCCGGGTTTCAAACGTTGACCGAATGTGGTTGTGGTTCTAGTGTGCCGTCGTGGTTCTAGTGTGCCGTCGTGGTTCTAGTGTGCGGTAGAGGTTCTAGTGCGCGGTCGTGGTTCCAGTGTGAGGTCGTGGTTCTAGTGCGAGGTTGTGGTTCTAGTGCGCAGTCGTGATTCTAGTGCGCGGTCGTGATTCTAGTGTGTGGTTGTGTTGGGGTTCTTATGAGAATAAGATCAGATATGTAAAACCCAGTCTGACTCTATAAAACATAATTCAAAGATATAGAATATAATAAACATAAGAAGCTGATATAAATACAAACACGTGTCTCCACCTTGTACGTGATGTTCTGGCAGCCTTCGTCCAATGAGGAGTTGAGGATGGGAAAGTGGAGGAGGCCGAGGGAGGCAGCCTGAACCAATGAGAGCGCAGCATTACCATCAGCACTAAGCGTTTAACTAATCAGCAGTGACGTGTGCGTTACCTTGATGAAGAAGGGCATGTAGCTCAGTTTGACCCCCCGGCCTTCAGCGATGGGTCTGAGTTCAGTTCTCAGAGACACCAGGCGGCTCAAGTCCACTTCATCGCAGTAACCAAAGTGAGGGATCTTCAGCGCCGCCGTCATCGTCTTCACCATCGCTCTGTGGAAACCTGAAGGACACGAGCACCTTTAGACCCGAGAGACCAGTTCACCTGGTCCAGTGTCTCAGTGAACCTGGATCTACAGAAGACCATCACTGGGTCCCTGAGAGACTGAAGACCACGTATAAACAGGATGACACCAGTGACATGTTGGTATCAACAGACTACGACCTTTGAGGGGCTCGGTCACGTCCTTCCCGGTGAAGACAGGTTTGGGTGTGGTGGGTGGAGGTTTGATGGCTGCCGTAGTGCTCACAGGCCTAGCAGCAGCAGCAGACGGAGCCAGAGTCTGGATCTCCTGGAACAGGGTCGGAGGTATGATGGCTCCGGTCTGCTTCGCCAGGAAGTTCAGGATGTCCTCCTTCAGGATCCGTCCGTCTCTCCCAGTCCCCACCACCTCACTGAGCTTAATCTGAGAGTCAGACCAGCTAAAATAGTAACAAGGAAACCCTGGGGACAAACTGGGAACACTGGACAAACTGGGGACAGATTGGAGAAACTGGACAGACTGGAAACACTGGACGGTCCAGAAACAGACAGACTGGGGACAGACTTAAGACAGACTGGACACAGACTTACGTTGTTCTCCATGGCGAGGCGCCTAACGGCAGGCGTGGCCTGAGTCTTGTGACCTTTTATCTCCTGGTGGGTGTGTTCTTCTCGAGCCATGGCGGGCGTCTCCACCACGTCCTCCTCCTGGATCACCTCTGATCAACAACAAAGTTTTAGTCTGAACCAGAAAAACTGGAGACACTGAAGACACGGTTCCAGACTAACATCAGGTGTCATGTCTCACCTGAACTGGACTCGGTCTCGATGTCCACCAGTGGTTTTCCCACTAAAGCGGTGCCGTCCACGTCGTAGTAGAGTTTTTTGATGACTCCGTCATAGCGGCTGGTGATGGTGACGGACGCCTTGTCGCTCTGGACCTCACAGATACTATCGAACTGAGACACCTTGTCCCCCTCCTTCACATACCTGAGAGACACATTCATTAAAAGGGACAAGGTGGTCTCAGTACTCACGTTGTCACACAGAACTCATGTGGTCTCAGTACTCATGCGGTCTCAGTACTCCCGCGGTCACACAGTACTCCCGCGGTCACACAGTAATCATGTGGTCTGAGTATTCCCGTGGTCTCAGTAGTCTCAGTGGTTTCAGTACTCACGTGGTTTTAGTGGTCTCACGTGGTTTTAGTGGTCTCACGACTCACGCGGTCTCGCGACACGCCGTCTCGCGACACGCCGTCTCGCGACACGCCGTCTCGCGACACGCCGTCTCGCGACACACCGTCTCGCGACACACCGTCTCGCGACTTACCACTCTTTCACCGTCACCTCCATGATTCCCTCTCCGATGTCGGACAGTTTGAACGAGACGATCGGTCCTCGACTCACTGCAGGAGAAAACACACCGACATCATCAATGACATCATCAACGACACCATCAACAACACCACGTCTTCAGACACAATGACTCCTCTGATCTGAGACCTGATTGTTTAAACCCTTATCTCAGTCTGGATCTGTGTAATGAAACCTGTTGATCTGGATTCTCTGAACTGAACCAGGAAGAACTCCATCGCCAAAAACCAACACCCAGCAACTTCCTGAATTCCTGAAACTGGATTGTCCAGATCTGGTTCACTGGTTATAAAGTTCCCGAGAACCAGACCTAGGTTTTGGGTCAGGACTTTGGGTCCTGCTGGTCTGGACCTACCGGTGGAGGAGTGCAGGGTCCTGCTGCTGGACATCTGGAGGTTTGTTTCACATCTGAAGCTCAGAAGCTGAACGGTTCGGTCGGACCTGAAGTTCTGCAGCCGGAAACATCGACTACGGTACTGATGAGTCAGCTGACAGGATGAGAGACAGACAGGTACAAAGATCGCCTGGCAGGTAGAGTCCTCACAGAGAGACAGAAATGTAGAGTCCTCAGAGAGACAGACAGACAAGTAGAGTCCTCACAGAGA